AGGTGGTGTTGGAGGCCTGGTGCCCGGTGTTGGCGGTGTCCCTGGCGTGGTGCCCGGTGTTGGCGGTGTCCCTGGCGTGGTTCCTGGCGTCGGCGGTTTCCCAGGAGTTGGAGGTGAAGTTGCATGATTGGCCCTGTCGATGGTCCTGTGGGGTTGTGTTCTCCCCGTCTCACAGCCCTGACTCTCTCTTTACTGTGTCCCAAACAGCTATAAGCCCGGCAGCAGCGGCAGCAGCGAAAGCAGCAGCGAAAGCAGCAGCATATGGTGAGTCAGCTCCTCCTCTCTTACTGCTCTGCAACTATGCCCTTTCCCCAGGGCTCCCCAGTTGCAGGGCAGAGTCCTTTTTGCTGGCATCTGTAGCCTCTGGCGTCACTGGGTCATCAGCATGGAGCGCAGACAGAGACCGGTCCATGCTGCGCAGCAGGAGACGAGGGTCCCATGGCACAGGGGATCACCTGGTGGGGAGTGCTCAGCCTGCATTCCCCTGACATGTCTCTAATGCCAACAGGCGCAGCCGAGGCCTTTGCAGACCTATCCCCGCTGCAACAGAATGTTAAACTATATTTTACTGTCCGGCCACTAGGTGGAGCCCTGTGTCACTTATCTTATCTGGGCAGGTCATAGCTAAAGTCAGACAGAGCACTGAAAGGTCTTGTAATGAACGCATCTCCAGTGTATCTCTCTGGGAAGGAAGCGCTGTGGCCAATCCATATCTGGTAGTAGCAGCCCTGCAATTTTCCATCTACAACATGGTGTTGAAAGTAAACTAGCGCCAGAGGAGAACAGAAACAGAAGGAAAACAGCAGCAAAGGTTGCAAACAGAAGCAACAAAAGCAACAAAGGTTGTGGGATCTCATCAACATGCCACTCTTCTCTGCCCTTCAGAATGGACAGACTGGAAGCCACATTTTTCAAGATTTTGCATTGCTACAAGACTCCATAAGGAAACTGGGGGATATTCCAGTATCAATGTTAATTGATGCTGTGGGAAGCAGACAGAACACATCTTTAAATCTTTTACCTTTACTGCAGACAGTCACAAAGATGATTAGGAAAGGGTTCTGGCTATGTCTGATGCATACTGTATATCTCAGAAAAATGTAGTTTACGAAAGAGCATGTTTCCACCAGAGAATTCAAGAGCCAGGAGAAAATGTTGAATGTTTTATAATAGCTCTGCATGTATTGGCTGACAACTGATTCTGGGAATGCAGAACATGAAAATATCAGAGACAGGCTGGTTATTGAGTCAACAGACAACTCCAGCTACAGGAACGGCAATTAAAGACAGATTTAAACCTACTCACAGCTACACAGAGACCAAAGCAGGCTGAGCTTGTCAAAAAGTAGCACAAAAGGCAGGAGCAACTTGAAACATCTGCAAGTAACCTAGAAGCTGTAAACAGACACAGCATGAGTTGAAAAAGACACTACCACAAAAACCCTGAAGCTATGAGGGAGTCCCAGGCAAACTACAAAGCCTTTCAGACAGAATGTACAAGACATGGAAAAATTCATAGCCCTGCAGATGTATATTTAGTCAAATGTGCAAGGTATAGTAAATGCACCTGTAAGTAATATGGACATTTTGTAGCTGTTTGCCATACCAAGGCAGTCAGGGAGTTGACTAATATTACAGACGATCAAGTGCCATTGTTAAAATAATCTATCACTCGTGATGACAGCCTGGAGATTGAAACGGAATATTCATGGGAAGACTATTCACTTTAATATTAACTCAGGAGCAGATGTGACCATCATCTCAGAAGGGACTTACAATCCCCTTCTGCCCCTCCCAGAGCTGAAATCAGCTGACACAGCTCTGACTAGCCCTGGGGGTATTCTGAACTGCCTGGGCCACTTCACCATAGTAACACAAAGACAAAAGCTGGGCATTCAGAGTGCGTGTGATCAAAGACCAACAACCTTCTCAGCCACAGCGTGGCAGCCATGACGGGCCTAGTGAGAAAGGTGGAAGAACTCAGAGGATTTGATGATATTGGACTTTAGAAAAGAGATTCAGTACAAATAAACTTGAGACAATGGTAGATCATGCAGTGTACAGACATTCCTACCAGAGAGACCTTGGAAAAGATGAGCTGCAGATTTATGCAAATTCAAAGGACATCATTACCTGGTCATTGTGGACTATTTTTCCAGGTATATAGAAATAATGTAATTGAAAGACACAACATGTGTTATGGAGAAACAGAAATGCACTTTTGCTCACTTTGGTATTCCAGAACAACTAGTATTGGACAATGGACCACAATTCACTGCAGCAGAATTTAAGTCATCCTGAACAAAATATGATTTTGTTCATATTACTAGTAGCCCACATTACCCACAAACGAATGGAGAGGCTGAGAGAGCTGTACAGACACACAAGAAAATCCTAAGGCAGGAAGATCCATTCCTTGGTCTTCTGAGCTACAGATCAACACCAATAGTGACTACTGGATATAGTCCAGCACAACTCCTGGTGGGAAGACAACTCAGAACTACTGTTCTAACTTTGGAAAAGAATCAATCTCCAAAGTGGCCAGACATGAAGACAGTAGCCAAATTAGATACAAAGGCAAAAAGAGCTTACGGAAAACTTTTACAACAGAAATCACCCGGGGACCTGCTGGGTCTAGAACCTGGAGACCATGTTTGTGTCAAACAGGATGGAGAAAAAGGATGGACAACTCCAGCTGTTATAAAAAAAAGATAATTCAGCATCCAGATCATATGTGATTGAGACCATCAGTGGAGAGTTCAACATCTAGAAGCGATCAACATCTACATTTTGTTCCTCAGAAAGAACAATCAATGAGCAAATTCTACAGATGGCAGATGCAGAATAAGAAGAAGACTCAAAGATTCCAAACTGACCAGAGACAGGTGTTGCTGCCAATGGACAGCTAGATGATCTAGTTGTTATGTATTCAGGTCATGTAATTAGAAAAACAGTATGATTCAGATTCACTGAACAATCTGTATCTGTACTGGTAGGAATGTAGAATTTAAAGGGGGAGTGTAATGGAATGCTAAATTGTCCTATACTGATCAGCCACGAGTTAGCGCTAGGTGTAACATCCTTATCTGAGCAGGTCATAGCTAGAGCCAGACAGTGCACTAAAGGATCTCATGGAAGAAACATCTCCGATGTGTCTCTCCAAGAAGGAAGCTCTGTGGGCAGGTCCATATCTGGTACAACAGTCTGACCTGCTAGTAGCAGCCTTGTACTCTACCATGTCCATGGAGTACATGACACTTGCCTCTGCCAGCGTGGGGCCCATTGAGCATTGGGGCTGGGCACTTCCCAGCATTTCCTGGGGCCCTACTTCTTATGCGTCACATGGGTGAATGGTGAATGGACGGCATGGAAAGGATAGTGGGTGGGTCTGTTTTGGGATGGCTGGATGGCCCCTATCGGTGCCAGACTCCCAGAGCAGGCAGTAAGATGCCTGCCTGGTCATGGGCTGAGAGGATAATGGGGGAGCGGATGGCAAACCAGGATCTCCATTCATATCTCTCTAAATCTAATGGCAGGGCGACCTTTACAGCCTCATCATGGGCCCCCGAGTACAGGGGGATACAGTCCTGCTTCATGCCCTGGCCTCACTACTGAACCTCTCAACAGGGGCTGGACGCGTACCAGGTGTGGCACCCGGAGTTGGAGGCTTGGTGCCTGGCATTGGTGGGGGTCTGGTGCCCGGCGTTGGTGGGGGTCTGGTGCCTGGTGTTGGTGGAGCCCTGGTGCCCGGCGTTGGAGGTAACTTTTGCTTTAACTGGGAGATACGACTTGCCACTTGATCTGGGATCCTCACTGCTGCAGTGATCTGTAATGGCCACTGCAGGGGAAGGCAAAGAGTCCCATGATGACCTGCTGCAATCTGGAGCATCCCCAGGTGCATCCCCCTTGTCCCTGCTGTGGGAGAGCATGCTGCAGGAACAGTGTTTTTCTGTGATGGGATATGCCCAGGGGTCTGTTGGAGTCCATCCCTGGGGAATGCATCTCCACCCGAGTCTCATTCTCCAGACATTTCTGTCCCCAGGAGTCGTCAGTCCAGCAGCAGCAGCCAAAGCAGCGGCTAAAGCAGCCAAGTACGGTGAGTTGACTCTTCCTCCTCGGGCTATCCACAGTGCCCTGCGACTGCTGGCTCCCTGCGAGTCCCAGCAGGAGGGGGTCATGGCCAGAGCTGGGGCTTCGGGTTCCAGAATGTAGCACCCTCCCACTCAGAGCAGACTGGTCCCTCCGGAGAAGGAGTAAGGCCACCGCGTGAGCCACATGTGAACAGACACGAAGTAATGGTACATGCTGAGTGCAATTACCTTGCCAACCCAGCTGGGGCAGAGATTCCTTTGTGGGGGGGTGGTATGTATTGACCACAATGTATATGTAACCCACACCCCTCCGAGACCACGTAGAGAGAGATTAATGAGTGTCCTCTGCAGCCTTCGCTAAGGGCCACGTGGCTTTGAGCTCATGCAGTAGAGGCTCATGCACTAAGCTCCGGAGGCCCCAGATTTGATTCCGCTCGCTGGCAGACGGGGTCTATCAGTCCCCAGACAGACACATCCACATCTATCGGTGTTACAGATGAGACATGGGCAACCCAGCCCCTCAGGTGACTACTAGCCCAAGACCCATTGTGTAGTCAGCTGGGAAACTCCCCTTCCCTGCACTAAGAGGTTGGTGGAGTCTGGAGAGTCCCTTAGGAAATAATGTAGCTAATTCCATCCACCCATCCCCAAATACACATCCACCATCCATACACCCGTCCCTAAACAAAACCCCCACTATCCATCCACCCATCCCCAAACAGACCCATCCACTATCCATCTACCCATCGCCAAACACACATCCACCATCCATACACCCATCCCTATACAAAACCCCCCACTATCCATCTACCCATCCCCAAACAGACCCATCCACTATCCATCCACCGTCCCCAAACAGACCCATCCACTATCCATCCACCGTCCCCAAACAGATCCACCCACTATCCATCCACCCATCCCCAAACAGATCCACCCACTATCCATCCACCCATCCCCAAACAGATCCACCCACTATCCGTCCATCTGTCCCCAAACATACCCATTTCTTGTCCATCCACCCATCCCCAAAACAAACCCAACCACAGTCCATTCACCCATCCCCAAACAGACTCATCCACTATCCATTCACCCATCCCGAAACAGACCCACCCACTCTCAATCCACCCGTCCCCAAACAGTCCCATACACTATCCTTTCAGCCATCCCCAAACTGATCCACCCACTATCCATACACCAGTCCCCAAACATACTTCCACTATCCATTCACCCGTCCCCAAACAGACCCACCCATTATCCATCCACCCGTCCCCAAACAAAGCCAACCACTATCCATCCACCCATCCCCAAACAGACATCCACTATCCGTCCACCCGTCCCCAAACCGACCCATCCACTATCCATCCACCTGTCCCTAAACAGACATCCAGTATCCGTCCACCCATCCCCAAACAGTTCCACCCATTATCCAGCCACCCATCCCCAAAAATAAATGCACTAACCATCCACCCATCCCTAAACAGACCCACCCACTATTCATCCACCCGTCCCCAAAGAGATCCATTCCCTATCCATCCACCCATCCCCAACAAACCCATCCACTATCCGTCCACCCATCTCCCAAACAGACCCATCCACCATCCATCCACCTGTCCCCAGACAGATCCATCCACTATCCGTCCACCTGTCCCCAAACAGACATCCACTATCCTTCCATCCGTCCCCAACCAGACCCAGCCACTATCCATCCACCCGTCCCAAACAGACCCATCTACTGTCCATCCACCCATCCCCAAACAGACCCATCCACTATCCAACCACCCGTCCCTAAAGAGACCCATCCACTATCCATCCACCCATCCCCAAACAAACCCAACCACTGTCCTTACACCCGTCCCCAAACAGACATCCACTATACATCCACCCATCCCCAAACAGACATCCACTATCTGTCCACCTGTCCCCAGACAGATCCATCCACTATCCGTCCATCCATCCCCAAACAGACATCCACTATCCTTCCATCCGTCCCCAAACAGATCCAACCACTATCCATCCACCCGTCCCCAAACAGATCCATCCACTATCCGTCCATCCATCCCCAAACAGACATCCACTATCCTTCCATCTGTCCCCAAACAAACCCAACCACTATCCTTACACCCGTCCCCAAACAGACCCATCCACTCTCCATCCACCTGCCCGAAAACAAACCCAACCACTGTCCTTTCACCCATCCTCAAACAGAAGCATCCATTGTCCATCCACCTGTCCTCAAACAGACACATCCACTGTCCATCCACCGATCCCTAAACATACCCATTCACTGTCCATCTACCCATCTCCAAACAGACCCACCCACTATCCATCCACCTGTCCCCAAAGAGACCAACCCACTGTCCATCCAGTCATCCCCAAACAGACCCACCCACTATCCATCCACCACCATTCAGATCTCTCTTAATCAGTTCTTATACTGCCCCCAATGTTTTGCTATCTAAGCACCGCTGTCCGTTACAATCCAGCTGCATGCTATTTGAAGGCCCCACACTTTCGACCTACCTCAGTCTGTGCCATCTTCCATACCTTTATAGACCCTGAATTTCCAGACCACGGCTGCATTTCACATATCTAACTTTCTGCAGGAGCTGGCGGTGTTGGAGGCCTAGTGCCCGGTGGAGTCGGAGGCCTGGTGCCCGGTGGAGTCGGAGGCCTGGTGCCCGGTGGTGTCGGAGGCCTGGTGCCCGGTGGTGTCGGAGGCATCCCAGGTGCTGGCAGAGTTGGAGACAATCTCATTCTGTTCCAGTAGCGGATGAGTGTGTTGGACTCCTCCCTGGTACCATACGATAGGGTTGGACAGTGATGTGGCTGAGTGCACTCCTGCCCCCTTGCTGCTCTGTCTGAGTGACCCCTCCGCTGTACAACCTCCTGCCCCTCCCTGCTGGGATGGAGTCCTGCCTCTCTCCCACTCTCAGACCGGGATCTGGGTACAGCATCCCAGCTCTGCCAACTGCTCCTTGCTGACTGCGGTTCAGGCATGGGCTTGGGACCTGCCCGTAATCAAATGGGAGCTGGTGGGCTTGGCTGTGTCAGAGGCAGGCAGAAGTGCCAGTCTGAGCAGCCCAGAGTCAGCCCCGCCCAGCCCCTCCAGCCTCAGAGCCATTGATCCCACTGGCCCAGCTCCCTGGGCAGCGGCAGCGCTGGGAGCGCTGGCGGAGAGGGGGCAGGTGCTGGTGCCACCGTGTGACCTGAGCCTGCGCAGGGATGGATCAGACAGACACAGGCTGCTGTGCCCCTGCGAGCAGGTCGGGTCCCTCGTGCCAGTGCAGACACGGCCGGAGAGGGAGGCTGCACTGGGGTAAGGGGAAGAGCAGGAGAGGTTCAGCAGAGGCAGAGCTGGGCAGGGGCAGTGGTGCCCGTGTGGATGAGCCGGGCTGTTCGCCAGGGCAGGACTCTGATCCCGGCCTCTCGCTCTCTCCCCAGGACTCCTCAGTCCCGCAGCAGCAGCCAAAGCAGCTGCAAAAGCAGCCAAGTACGGTGAGTTGGGCTTCCCCAGCCCTCCCGCTCCAGCCCTCCCCCTCCAGCCCTGAGCCTCCCCCTTCCCTCCAGCCCTCCCCCTCCAGCCCCAACCCTTCCCTCCAGCCCTCCCGCTCCAGCCCTCCCCCTCCAGCCCTGAGCCTCCAGCCCCGACCCTCCCGCTTCTC